GTACACATAAAGAAGAGTCTCGGCTAGTAGGCTATATTGAGTCATTACGTCACATCTGTCCACATAAAGAAGAGTCTCGGCTAGTATGCTATATTGAGTCATTACGTCACATCTGTACACATAAAGAAGAGTCTCGGCTAGTAGACTATATTGAGTCATTACGTCACATCTGTACACATAAAGAAGAGTCTCGGCTAGTAGACTATATTGAGTCATTACGTCACATCTGTACACATAAAGAAGAGTCTCGGCTAGTAGGCTATATTGAGTCATTACGTCACATCTGTACACATAAAGAAGAGTCTCGGCTAGTAGGCTATATTGAGTCATTACGTCACATCTGTCCACATAAAGAAGAGTCTCGGCTAGTAGGCTATATTGCAGACATGGGGACTTGTGACTTGGTGACTTGGACTCGAGTCGACTCGAGTCGCTATTTTTATGACTTGTGACTTGACTTGATATAAAATGAAATACTTGAGACTTGACTCGGACTTGGAAGTTAAAGACTTGGGACTTGACTTGACTTGAGACACGAAGACTTGAATGACTTGAGTGTTAATCACATCATGTTTTCAGTTTGAATATAAAATATATAAATATTTTTTTTTTAAAGTTGATCACGACACTATCATCAGTCATACCCTCTCTTACCTTACGCACACCACGCCCACTTAGATCAGATATCACATCAAAATGTCGGCCGGAGGGCTACCGAGGGTCATTGCTTTCGGCTTCAAGAATTATTCACACGATGGCAAAAGACGAACAGCGCTTTGCAAGACATACAACATTAACATTGCGGACAGCCAGACGACAACCTCCAATTTCGTCCGTCATTTGAAGAGCCATTCTGCCCAGTAAGTGCTTGTCAATTTGTTAATGTTAGTTGGTAGTTAGCTAATGTAATAGCTAAAGTAGCCATTAACCCTTTCACAAGTAAGTTTAAACTATTCTAACTGATCCCCCAGCGTGAGTTTTTCTAGGCGACCGTTATTTAGAACCTGTCACTCACTTTAATGTTTCATGGTGACGCGTCATTGCTTGTCACGTGACACAGCGCAACCACAACACAGCGCTGAATGAATGATCTGCTTTTATGTCATTTTTCCTGTTTTATTCAAAATGTTCACAAATGTATTAGCTATAACATGCAACACTGATATTCCGATTGTCAAATATGTGCAAGTGGATGTGTTTTGTTGTTTAAACACCTTTATAATGATCGCGTTAGTTGAGCTATATGTGCGAATGGGCGGTGCCATGTTAACGTTAGTTTACAACACGTCAATTTCTCAACTTCTCACGAAATACATGAAAGTAAGTGACCGGTGAACTGGGAGAAGAATAGGGTAAAATGTAAAGCTACTTACACAATGTGTATCTGATATGAATAAAACGTGCGTCTTATTATAATGGAAAGGATTATTATTGACGCTTCCATAGACATCAGTGTATATTTTACAAACTACAAATATATTTTTTTGCTAGTAGTTATGTGTATTTAAATGTCTGAAACCTAAAATAAAAATGATGTGGTTGAAAACATTGAACAGTTGTGATATATGACAGCACTGAGAGCGTATGTCTCTGGCTCAGCGCCAGCCAACGCGTTTGAATTCATTGATAAATAACTTACACGAAGCAGAATAGTGGGTCATATGTCTAATGCTTTTTGAAAACTTAAAGGGGTCATATAATGCCATTTTTATACAAGCTAATATGATTCTTTAGGGTCTAAATTAAAAGTTTGTAATATACTTTAATTAAAAATTCTCATTAGTATTGTAAGAAAACACTTATTTTACTTGGTCAAAAACAGCTCTGTTTTCATCACGCCGTTTCAGTGCATATGACTTTAAATGATCATGAGCTTCGCTCACCCCGCCTCTCTGTTCTGTGCGTACACCGTTTGTAACACAATAACCATAATGCGTTGTTCAGTATAAACGTGGGATTATGAATTATATTGAGAACGTCATACATAGAAAACATGCCGTAATGTACCCTGAGTGTAAACCTTAGACGCATTCATTGTGAAGCGTGCAGCTAGCGATTTGCAAAGATTATTATATTAATATAAAGTTTAATAAAACGTTACACTCACTTCCGTTCTTCTGGAGATTCAGCAGGAACACGAATATCTGGTACCGATCTTTTTTCATGAGCAGCTTCTTAGCAAATCCAGCTTTATACTGACCCTCATTTATAAAGCAGTCTGGTGTGTGAAATGATTCGCGCAAACATGAAAGCATTGACGTTGCTCGTGGGGAATATTCCCTTCGAAAACAAACTCAGCCACTGCGTCTTCAGCGGTTCGGATTTAGGAACATTAAAATGACTCCTGTGCTCGTTATTACACCCAAGAACAGAACACCACAATCGCTTAGACGCCATTCTGCTCATAGACAGTGCTCCAGCAGATCAACAATGACCGCGCCGGTCCGCGCCGCGCAGACTATGATTGACAGCTGGCTCACGAGCGAGGGCGGGTCTGTGTTGAAACACGGCTGTCATTCAACAATCGCGGGAGGGGCTTCCGAGCTTGTGACGTCACAGGCTCGAACGGCTCGATTTGAGGCAGGGGAAAACATATAAGGAGATTAAAACAAAACCACTGGATGGATTTTTAGCATTATATGATGGTTGTGTACAGGCACTGCCAACACACATTTCAGTACAATCAACTTGTAAAAGTGCATGTACCATTATATGACCCCTTTAATGCTTTCTTCTTCATAAAAGAAGTCGGACATCACATTTTTGTATACATTTTTATTTCTTTAAATTAGTAAGCTACAGGACACCATCTTTCAAAACATGACCTGCGCGAAAGAGAAAAGTGAATGAATGCGTCATTGTTCCCAAATGCACTTCCGAATGCGCCTCTGTTCATTTCAAACCAAACTGACGCCCATAGATCAAATTCTGCTGGTAAAATTACAATAATAAGGTGACTTGACTTGGACTTGACTTGACCTACTACAAGACTTGACTTGACTTGACTTGACATAGCCTGTGACTTGACTTGACTTGACTTGCCCAGGAAAAAAATACTTGGGACTTACTTGAGACTTGAAGGTTAAGACTTGAGACTTACTTGAGACTTGCACATGTGTGACTTGGTCCCATCTCTGCTATATTGAGTCATTACGTCACATCTGTACACATAAAGAAGAGTCTCGGCTAGTAGGCTATATTGAGTCATTACGTCACATCTGTACACATAAAGAAGAGTCTCGGCTAGTAGGCTATATTGAGTCATTACGTCACATCTGTACACATAAAGAAGAGTCTCGGCTAGTAGGCTATATTGAGTCATTACGTCACATCTGTCCACATAAAGAAGAGTCTCGGCTAGTATGCTATATTGAGTCATTACGTCACATCTGTACACATAAAGAAGAGTCTCGGCTAGTAGACTATATTGAGTCATTACGTCACATCTGTACACATAAAGAAGAGTCTCGGCTAGTAGACTATATTGAGTCATTACGTCACATCTGTACACATAAAGAAGAGTCTCGGCTAGTAGGCTATATTGAGTCATTACGTCACATCTGTACACATAAAGAAGAGTCTCGGCTAGTAGACTATATTGAGTCATTACGTCACATCTGTACACATAAAGAAGAGTCTCGGCTAGTAGGCTATATTGAGTCATTACGTCACATCTGTACACATAAAGAAGAGTCTCGGCTAGTAGACTATATTGAGTCATTACGTCACATCTGTACACATAAAGAAGAGTCTCGGCTAGTATGCTATATTGAGTCATTACGTCACATCTGTACACATAAAGAAGAGTCTCGGCTAGTAGGCTATATTGAGTCATTACGTCACATCTGTACACATAAAGAAGAGTCTCGGCTAGTATGCTATATTGAGTCATTATGTCACATCTGTACACATAAAGAAGAGTCTCGGCTAGTAGACTATATTGAGTCATTACGTCACATCTGTACACATCGCACTGACAGCTGCTGTCAGACTCTAAAATGGAGAGTGACTAGAGTGATGCAAATAGCTTTGCAACAGAGCGGTCATTTGAAGTGGAGGACTTTTCTCCCCCAGCTTCACCTGAAGTGGAGGAGGGTGAATTGTCTGTGGACACAGGGCCATATCAATTCGAGCCGCTGGCTCAAACTGCGGTCTTAACTCCCGCATCGCGATCGGCATCTGATGAGTTTTGTCGAGTTGATGTCAATAGCGTGCGCTCTCTGTAGGCATATATTCATATTGATATTTTGCCGTTATGTGAAAAAATTCCAGCAAAATGCGCCGGCGCGTTTGTCGACCCCAGAGGATTAACTTTAGCCTAACCATAAATTGTGATTAAAATATACATGTTCACTCACATCAAGACGCGACTGTGGTGGTGGAGTCCATGCAGGAGGAGCAGTGTTTGGCACTGCGTCGCTTTTCAGCGCGAGCTGTGTGGAGAAGCCCATTTCCACCTCTATTCCATTACCATCCTGACCACTGTACTAAATACAGATAAATCAACGCTAACTTGAAGCTATCCTAACTGTACTATGCTACTAACTAACTAACTAACTAGGCCACACAAAATAATCTAAATAACTATATAAATGCTATGCTAAATAGATGCTTAAAATACTCTATCCTGATCGTTTTCAATACTCGTAATTCCCACTCTTGACTCGCAGTGGTTTTTACGAAACAAGATGGTTTTTATACTGCCATGGGCGTGGTGAGCTTGAACCTGCTTACGTCAACTCTCCCCGCTACGTCACGAAGAACCGCAAACATCCAATAGGAAAATTAAACTGCAGTAGTCACCGTTCATCCTGAAGAGGGCAGCACTCAGATGTTTTTACACCATGTGTTGTAGAATTAAAACACTTTATACCCAAATGTCAAAAAAGTTTATTTAAATCAATGATCAGCACTAATAAAGCCCCATTCTTACAGATCATTAACTAAAAAAAGTTGGTTTACGGTTTGGTTACCCTTTAAAGTAAGCCTATCTAATTAATGTAATAATGAATTATGTGATTGGAATAAAATTGACTCCATAAGATAATATAAGTAAAAGCATGACAGGAATGGATGAAACCTATTTCTCACAAATACATTTGATCCTATCTGAGCATGGGTAATCATGCCAGTTGTTCAGAATTGTGTCTGGATCCAGTACAATACAGTCCTCATCTCCAGCACGGCTATTCGGCTGACCTTCGAACCAAAACCTGAATAAAATGTGTCAGATTTTCCAATATTCAGAACCACAAATGTTCAATCAATCTGGAGGTATGGTCTTAATTTTAAAATAACAATAAAAAAGACTAAAACAAACAAATACACATGATTTTCTGTGAGTGTTTTATCACTTACCCTTGTTTCAGTGGTGAATTATCCACCCATTTCATGATCCCCTCAGTCTCAGAGTCAGTCAAACCAATCCACACACTCTCCTTGACGAATGAAGTTATGAACCTCTGTGTGAATATAAACAGGAGTAAGTGTGATTCCTCTCATTAACTAACAGTCACTCACACAATCTCACCTGCTTCTCTTCAGTGTTGATAATGATCAGATCAGCTCCTCCATCTCTGCAGAACTTCCTGCTGTCAGACCAGCTCTTCAACTCATCAGATATAAAAAACAAACAGCCATTTCCTTTCAATAAACACAAACACTTTGGTCAGTATTGTGTGTTGTAAAGTGCAAATAAACATACACATACATTTGCACAAACCTCGTTCAGATAACTTCCTTAGTTCAGTCTCTAACTCCAGGTTCTTCTGACTCAAAGAGCTGAAGTTGTTCTTCAGTTGGTCTTTTTCAGTCATTAGATCAGTGTAATTGTCCTGTAAGCTGTTGATAGTGTGATTGAACTCTTCAACTGTGTTCTTGTAACTCTTTAACAGGTCTCTCTCTGCTGTGATGGTGATGTACAGTGTGATGAAGACCAGCAGAAGAACACACATGAGCCCGAGACACACTGACATCCACACCAAACACCTGCTTCCTCCTGACACACAGAGACAACACACACGGATATCAGTGTTCATATTATTATAACATATGTTTCAAATAAACCTTTTTAGGTAATCTACCCTTGTCTTTAGATAATTCTGTAGATAGAGGTTTTACAGTATGTTCTTTTATAAGACAAACATTACCAAATGATAAAAATATCCAAAGAATGTTGAAAAAGTTAAAGAAATATTTTTATATTTAAATAATTTAATAAAATAATTAATTAATTAAATATAAAAGCAGAAACACTGACATGTTGTTCTTATAAATGTATATTTGAAATGGTGTGTAACAGTTTCATTTCCTCTAACACAGTGACACCATTGACAACATCATCTGCGACACCATTTCTGGTTTAAAGTAATTTTCTGCTTACTGCGCTTTTCATCTTTTCCTTCATCCTGGCCGTTACTCTGTGATGGAGGTCCAAATGTGTCCTCAATATCTCTGCGTTCAACATTTTGATAAATGTCCTCTGGACCCATTATTCACTGTGTCTGACAGTACGTCTTCACAGATGAAGTGTGGTCCTCAGAATGATGAGTACTGTTTTTAAAAAAGTGTTAAACCTAAATGGGAAGTCGTGTCATTTCACACATTCGACAAGAATACAGACTTGCAGTCCAACTTAAAAACTCCCTGCAGACTCACACTACTGTGTTTGTGTATTGTACATTAATCAGACACTTACACATAGACATTGTGCAAAGCAAAAAATAAATAAATAAATAAATAAATATGAAAAGTGATTTTATGTAAGTTCCCTGGATTATAAGATCAGGAACTTAAGTGGGAGGTGTTGTGTTTTCTGTGGAGTTTTGTTATTTTTTATTATTATTTATTTATTTTTTACATGTTTAATTCAAATGTGTACATTAAACTAAAGTTACAACTGTTATAAGGAACGTTTTGAGGTTAGTAGCCTAATGGTGTAGTGCCTCTTTAAGAGATGAGTGTGCTGTGGAACATCTGACCGGAGTTCACTGTGTGAAAAGGAAGCGCGATTCATTGAATCTATAATGCCTCATAGAAAATGGGACCCCTCAGGGAAGTGTGATTAGTCCTTTGCTCTTCTCCATCATGATAAATGATGTATTTTCAGATGCAGGGCCTGGGATTGGAAGATCTTTGTTTGCTGATGATGGGGCGATGTGGAAAAGGGGAAGGAACATAAAGTATACAGTTAGAAAGGTCCAGGAAGCAATAGATCTAGTAGAGCGGTGGTCACTGAGATGGGGTTTTAGATTTTCAAGGGAAAAAACGCAGGTGGTTTTCTTTACAAGGAAAAAGGTGGATTAAGAGATCAATCTTAAATTATATGGAAATGTACTGGAGAGGGTTGAGTCCTTTAAATTTTTGGGAATGGTTTTTGATGCTAGGTTGACATGGGCCGGCCACATTGAGAAAGTTATAGTTAAATGTAAAAAAGTATTAAATGTGATGAGGTGTTTGGTAGGAGTTGACTGGGGCGCGAATAGAAAAGCAATGAAGAGGATATGTGGGGCACTGATTAAATCTATAATATATTATGGCTTACAGAGATGCAGCTAGAACAATATTGGCCAAGTTGGATGTGGTGCAAACACAAGCATTAAGGATATGTACTGGGGCGTTTTGTTCATCATCTGCAGTTGCAATGCAGGTAGAAACGGGTGAGATGCCACTACAATTAAGAAGGGAACAACTGGCAGCCAATTATTGGGCAAACCTGCAAGGACAGGGTAGGTCTCACCCCACAAGAGCAGTTATGCAGGCATGCTGGGAACATAAAAGGGTTAAAATTCAGAGTTTTGGATGGGTGGGTGATACTATTGGGAAAGAGATGGGATTAGAGGGAAAGGAATTTAGCCCAACAGTTCCGCTGCCAGTCAGACCACCTTGGCTTTTTTGGCAGACTAATGTGGACCTAGAGATTTTAAATACCCACTCAAGAAATAGAGCGGAGGTGGATATATGTCAAGTATTTTGTGATAGGATGAGTGACAAGTATACAAGTATATTTGGTCATATTTACTGATGGATCTAAAGACCTTGAGTCGGGGAAAGCTGGAGCTGCTTTCAGTGTACCAAAGATGGGGGTGAAAATGCAGAAGAGAATCTCTGATAATTTATCAGTATTTACCGTAGAATTGGTAGCTGTTTGGTTGGCATTGAATTGGGTTGAAGAAGTCAAACCAGAAAAGGTTGTCATATGTTCAGACTCAAGTGCAGTTCTGGAAAGTTTGCATTCTTTTAAGTCAAAAGCGAGACAGGACATAATATATGAAATACTAGAAATTCACTCACGGATTTGTCAGATGGGGATAACGGTAAAGTTTACATGGGTTCCAGCACATGTGGGAGTGAAGGGTAATGAAATGGTAGATAGATTGGCAAAGCAAGCAAGTAAACAAGAAGAGGTTGAAATAGTAATTACAATAAGTAAAGCAGAAGCGAAAGCACAAATCCGGTCAAAAATTATTAAAAAGTGGCAGGCACACTGGTATGCGGAGGAGAAAGGAAGACATTTATATAACATTCAACAAAAGGTTGGGACAGAGAGAGTCACTGGAAGGAAGCGAAGGGAAGAAATTATCTTCACGAGATTAAGAATAGGACACTGTGGGTTAAATAAGTATTTACATATTGTAGGTAAGCACGTATCGTATAGGTGTGAATTTTGTGAAAATATTGAAACTGTGGAGCATGTGATTTTTGAGTGTCAGAAATATGAGAGGGAAAGAGGAAAGATGAAAGAGGGTATAAGAAGGTTAGGGGGGCAAGGGAATTCACTAAGGGAATTGCTGGGGAAATCGGTAAATGGTGTGAGTGCATTGGTATTTCAATTCTTAAAAGAAACAAGACTGGCAGAAAGGATTTAGGATGATTAAATATTTTTTTTTTTTTTTTTTTTTTTTGAAGGAAAAAGAAAAGAGGAAAATAATAAAAAGTTATTTTTAGTTTGATGGTTTATTTATGTATTTATTTTATCTCCGGTCCACACTCCAGTATAGTAGGTGGCGGTAATGCACCGTTAATGTTGGATGCCAACCGCCGTAAAACGACAGAGAAGAAGAAGAAGAATCTATAATGACTTCAATCTGGTGTGCAGCCACTTGGTGAGCTCTCTTAATTTTAAATGTTTCTTGTCTGCTTTATAATGTACGCTTCATGTTGTCTGCTGTCACCATGCTATGTTGTTGTACTGTGTTTGTGTCCGTTTCACGTTAAAGATAATGCTATGCTCCAGTAGATTTAAACATTCTAACGTTAGTTGACTGATAAATATATCGCTATGCTTCAAAGTTATAAGTTGACGAGGTAACCGTGAGACAAAGCTAACATTTAGACTTACTTAGAACATCGCTATACTAGACGTGTCCAGTTGTTTACTTTATTTGAATTTATAAATGTTTGAAGTATGAATCACGGAACGGTATTTAAAGTCCCCGTGAACCGGAAGTTGCAAACGACTTTTCTCCAGTGTTGTGACGTATTTCCGAGAGAAACGGAATACTAAATGAGGCAAAATGGTGGGCGTGGCTTTTTTCCCAACTAGCACCTGATTGGATCTAGAAAAGTAGGTGTTTTCATTCAGCCTGTCTACTGTCAGTTGGAGGGGCGTGGTTACGGATGTTAAGAAGACGCCCAAACCGTCAAACCTACGTCATCAGGCAAGGTCCTCCAATGCAGAGGGGAGGGGAAATTTCAGATTTTGATTAAAGATTACGAAGCCAAAAAAAATTTTTTGTGTGGATTGACTTGCATGGATGAATTGTTCACCACAAAACGATCAATTTAGGCAAACAAAGTAAGTATGGTCAATTTTTAATTCATGGGGACTTTAATGTGAGTAATGTTATTCTTCCTGGTTTGCTGCGGAGCATTCTGGGAAATGTAGTTTCTTGATTGCAGAGGTTTGGTAGGATTTGAGTATGGTGTATAATGTAAAGTGTGAAACGTGTATATGATAATTGTGAAAATAATAATAATTATTATTATAGCATATTAATATTGTTATATAATTGGTATTTTGATTAATGTTATTTATTGTTGCTTATTATTATTATTATTATTATTATTGGGCTATTGAATTGTTTGTACTAGTATACACATGAAAATTTAAATGTTGTATTCTTCTTATCTTCTCAGGTTTATTACCTGGTTATTTATTGGTGAGAAAAAATAAACAAACAAAAGTGAACCAAGAAAAACCTGAGTAATATCCTTTTGTACACTGGGTTGCCCTTTCCGTGGGGAGAACACGGAACAAACATGTTATCAGCTTCAAAAGCCAACAAGAGGAATCTGTGAACACTCAAATAAACTCAAACACACTTAAACAGGCCAAACTGGAGCTTTGTATTGATGATGCAGAAACAGCAGAAAGTGCCTGAATCTGATGTGTCTGTTCCTCTCTGATCACTTCAGTCTGATAAACCTGCTCTCTGCTGCCCCTGCTGGACTGGAGCAAATATAGCCATAGAGCAGGGGTTCTCAAAGTTTTGATAGGTGAGGGCCAATTTAGGAACCCAACATTGAACTGAGGGCCGCCAAAGTGGCGGGGGAGAAAACGAAGAAAAAAAACCTGAAAAGAAAATCCCATTTGAAATTATTT